CGCTGGCAGCTGGGCGGGTTGGGTTTCCTCAGCACTCTTGACCCTATGGCGTCTCCCACATACCTGGAACTGCCAACTGAGGGGTGCCCAGAGATCCTGTGGCTACTGGTCTCTGAGCAGCCACACACCTTGCAGCCAAGGATGGTTTCTGTCATAGCCCATGGGTAAATCTGGGGTTGTGGTAGATTTCACACTGCTGGCCCTGCCCCAGTCGTGCACTGCCTCCTGTATCCCTGACCACGTGGGCTTTTCCCTGTCTCCTTTCTGCTTTTTCCTACCCGTCTGAAGGAGCTCCTGTCCCTTCGCTGTCTTCTGCCACCCTCTGTATCAATCCTCCAAGCCTTCCAGCAGTGATCTAGTTCTGGGTCCTTTAGTTTCTTCCTTTCTCTTGAACCTCGTCCTTTTCTGGCCTGAGGACCATCTGCTCCAGGACCCTGGACAGTCAGAGGAAGGATGTGGAGAGGAGCAGAAGAGATCTGGGAACCCGGGAGCTATGACTTACCACTGCTTAATGATTTTTGGAATTGTCGCTCTCTTTGTTAATCTCAGTGCTCTCTGTCCCTGTGGCTTTTTCATGCCCACAGACAATCTTAGAAATGGGAGTGTGGTCGGTGGGGCCCCTTGCTCCTCCCAACCCCTTCTCTCACCTGTGCTCCCTGAACAGCTTGGCTGGACTCATGGCTTCTTCTCTTAACTGAGTGTCTGCCTCCATCTCCCACGCCTGTGTTCCCAGCCTCCTGCTGTCCCTACCCGGTGCCCGCCCCTCTCCAGGCTCTCCCCGCCCTGTACCGCCTCCTCCGGGCTCTCCCTGCCCTGTGCTCACCCCACCCCATACCCGCCCTATCCCCGGCCGGCTCCGCCCTGGGTCCGCCCCCTCCGGGATCTCCCTGCCCTTCTCTGGGCTCTCCCCGCCCCAGGACCGCCCCTCTCCGGGCTCTCCCCGCCCTGTGCCCGCCCTGCGCCATCTAGAGGCCCGCAGCCTGCCTCCTTCGGATGCTTTTCTGTTGTGGTTCTCAGGACTGTCCTCCTTGGCCTTGGCACCTGGGCCCGCTTCTCTTCCTGGAGCCTGGCGTCCCTGTGCTCACTGATGAGCAAGTGCTGACAGGAGCAGGATGTGGAGTCATCCGCACGTGGGAGGGGTTGCTGCTGTTACCGGCTTGGCCCTAGCGTGCTTCCCCGTTAAAAACCTTAGATGGTAGGCTCGGCGCCTGTGGCTCAAACAGCTAGGGCGCCAGCCACATACACCTAA